ATGGCTTGAAAGAAGAGCAGAGGTAAACTACATGATTCATTTAATTTAAAAATAGCAGTTGTAATTACAGACATCTTTTGGTTATTGTTAGGCTCAGCTTTGCAGAGCAAAGGTCTTGGTGATCTCCTAGAACATATGGTAGTACTCTGTAAATAATACTTTACTCTCGTGACCACTGCACAGTTCTGTGTCCTGGAAACACAAGGTCACTACCTTGTTTTTCAGCCAAGAAAGCTGTTTAAGATAGCTAAGAAAAGTTAAGATAGACATTAAGAAGTCCTTTCTAGTTGAAAGAATAGTCAGGTTTTGGGATAGGTTGACTAGGAGTCTTCATCGTGGGAACACACTAACAATGAGCTAGACAGGTGTGTTGGAAATGGCAGATACTGTTGCTGAGCATCTGAGGGAGGATAGCTTTGTACAAGCTGTTGAGGTCCCTTCCAGATGTTTACTGATACGAAGTTGTGATCATCAGGATTGTCTTACAGACTTAGTTAAGGGACATTTAGAGGTCACACATTTCTACCTTTATAAAACAACAGATAATGTATTCCTGTAACGTTCTCTGTTCTCTTGTCATTTTTATCAGATAAGCAACTCTGCCTTTTTGCCTATTCACAGTATTGGTTTTATTTTTTATGTTTTCTTCTTATATGGCATTATACAGCCAAGTTGATTGTAGGTGGGTGTTATAGCAATGCTTTTAATTTTGTGTCCACTTGTCATTCCACCTATGCTGAAGTTTGAATGTATCTTGAGGATATTAATGCAGGTAAGCACTGCTAGTCTTGAGTATTTCAAGTCATAAATTAATCTCTTGATCTCCCTCACTTGTATTTTCATGCTTCTTTTCAATAAAGAAAAAGTGTTTTCTTTATTTCTTTTGCTGATCTTTGATGCAGCTATAGCTCCTTTTCAGTTCAGATGCCTTTAGTGTTGTTTTCCTAGTTTGTGTTTCCTGGAGTTAACTGTCTGTCTCTTAGACCTCTTCTGTAGCCAGATCTGTAGAGATTCTAGAAGTAAAAACTTTATTGCTAGAGATTTCTCCTCTCCCTGAGCTTCCCAAATATATATATATATATATGGGTGTGTGTATATACATATATGTATATATATATATGCATACTTAAGATTTTGCAGCTGTGAGACTGTCTATTAATATAATTAAGCATTGTTGGGTAGGGTTTTTTAATATAGAAATATAGCTACTATCTTTAGTAATGCCCCTGGTTCCTGGTTATTTGGGAATTTTGCCCAGTGATGCTAGGTCTTTATGAAATACACTATTCCTGCAGAACAGTTTTAGAATTTTAATTTCTGGTCACTTTACTTTTACAGCCAAGAAAATCAGCTCTAGGCATACCTTTATGAGTTTGGTCATTAGGTGCTTTTGCATTGTGAATTTCTATTTCTGTTTTAGTTGCTGAAACTTCCAAGTGGTTCCTCTGAAGAAGTTGGGAGGCAAACTTGAATTTCCTGGGTGATGTTTCTAACAGCCTGTTTCATTCGTGCTCATGCTTATTTGGATTGTGGGGCCTTGCAGAATGCACTTGCTGGAGCTCTTCCATTTCCTGGAAATTGCCATCCCATCTTTTGCTCCTGTGTGTGCCACTGTGCATCTTACAAAGCCAATTTCATCATTTCTACGTTACAGCGAGCGTCCGTGGTGATGGCTGCAGGCAGTTGGCTGTCGCCTGTTGGCTGCAGAGACCATTAATACCTGTCTGCTCACCAGTCGCAGCAAGCAAAGGTTTACAAGACTTCTGGCAGGGAATTTCCAGCTGTTAGTACGTATGTTTTGTAGTATGTAAGCAGCAAATCGATATTTAAGAGATGCTGGGCCTGCTTGTGGGCTGTTCAGATGATCTATCTGTGTGCTAAAGGACCAGTTTGCGTTGGTGTTGCTGTGAAGAGCATGTACAAGCTGAACTGAGAGCTTTGGGTGTGTGGGGTGTTGGCCTCGTGTGCGCTTATCTGTGCATGTGTACTGGCCATGTCTAGACTTGGCTGGGACAGTAGCACTGAGTAGTTACAGTTGTTTCATCTGAAGTCTAGAATAGGACTTATACTGTGGTTGAATTTTTCACGTTGCTGCGTTTTTCAAGTGGAGAGCGAGAAGATGCTCTTGAGATGATAGATCCAGCAAATCATTTGTTAATTCGCAAGCGGCTTACTTGGTGTATGCTGCACATCTAGGTTAGTCTTACTAACTTTTAGATATCTGGAACTCAGAGGCCAGGTTGGCTCTACAGTAGATGCTGAGGAGGGAGGGGTGGGAGACAGAGTTGGAAACTCCAAAGGGTTTTTTCCGTTATGAATGTTTATTTTAGTATAAACTGAATCACTGTCTGGAGTTTCCACCAGAGAGGAAATGTAGATGTTTCTGCTCTAGAGGGAACATAGGTGCCTAACTTCAATTTATATCTAAAGATAGGTGGAATGAATTCCTAGTTCTGCTGGTTGCTGGTGGATGTGTTTGTCATCTACGAACATACTTGAGAAGCCACTCTGTTGCCTGAGTCTGTAGGATGCCGAAGTGTATTTGTTTTTTTTTGGATAGCCTGATTTTCCAGAGCTTGGTTTTCATCATGAACCTCTTGTGGCACAAGCCTTGAGTGTTTTTGACTCTCAAGGCATTGTTTTCATAGTTTCATTGTTCTGTGTGTCTTATTTCTTTTTATCTTTGCTGTCAGCTGGTTAGGTTTATACCCAGCTTTTCTATTTCACCTGGGCTTGCAACTAGACATCCTGCCCAAGTGCAGATGTAGAGATTCTGTTGGTGAAGTAAAGGCCTGTTTTTGCTGGACAAGTTACTTCATCAAAGTGACTACCTGTCCTCTTCATTGATATGTCACACATTCTCAGTTTTCAGGTTCATATGTGACTGAGTTTTGCTGCAGAATCTTTTTTTATAACAAACACCAGTTTGGTTTTGTTTTGGTTTCGTGTGTTAAAAAAAAAATAAATGTGCTGGTGTCTTAAAATTCAGATTCACATAGAAATCTTATTTGTCATCCGGGATTTTTACCCAAGATCTGAAATGCAACTCTTCGGCTTAAATCTGGTCTTGTCTTTGTGTTCAGAAATGTCATGTATGAAGGCAGTGAAGTGACTGTCCAGTGTGCAGTTCCCACAAATATAAAATGGGGGGGTTATAGGTTTAGAAATAATAGTTAATACTGTAATATCCAGTCTCCTTAAGCAACATCCATTGCTTTTATTCTTTTTGGCTGACAAAATTATTTCTCAGTTTATTCTAGAATCGTTTGACAGAATGATATAGAGCTCCTGTGTTGGTGCAGTACTTACTTAGGGAAAAGATCACGACATAGTAAGAATTAAGTGCGTGTTTAAAATGCACACGGCTCCCTTTGGAAATTCGAGAACTTTGGAATCTTTCAGTATCGAGGTCCACTTTACGCTGTGACACAAGTATAAATCATTGGGAAAGTGGGCTTTTTGCCACGGAAACGTGGATTTATTCTTCAAACAATGACTAAAATCTCATAACTTTTATTGCAAATGATGTATGGAACATAATCAAAAATATGGTTTCTGATCTATATTGGCAATAAATATTTTGTTACTGGCAATTGGCTTCAAACAATCTTGGAATCTTTCATTATAACAAGTAACTTTAAGTATAGGAAAGAAAATGCAGAGCACTTCTACAAGAATCCTTATTACTTTAATCAAACTGCCAAATTACAATCCTGATTCTGCAAAAACATAGTCTTGTATTAATTTTTCACTTTCTGATTAGCTTCAGGGAAGTCTCTGGGATTTACTCTCTCCATGTGAAGCTTAGCATGTAGGTAGGCTTTGTGTCCTTGAAGTCCCTATCCAAATTAGCCTTTTGGATTTTATGAAGCTGTATTTTCTTGTTTAAGTGGTGGCCAAGTGTATTTTTGGTGTGAGGGAAGATAGGATCAGAACATGCATTTAAAATAGTAGTATTTGGCTGTGCAGTCTTTAGTGTTGTGTTAATATTTGTGCCTTAGTCATATTAATGAATATATTTTGTTTTCCATGTGTTCCATATTACATGGATTGTAACTCGTGTCTTCATTTAGGCTTTATATAGGATAAACAAAGACTCGAAGGATAATATTCCTGTTCCCTCCTCAAGCTCCTTCCATACCCTGGTATCAGTCTTGGAGAAATAATGCTTTTTCCAGGTTAACCTGAAAATTAGAGAGGAAAGTCTCAGAGCTTAGAATATTTTGGTTTGGTTTCATGGCAATTCTTCTCTTTTTTTTTTTTTTAATATTCCTTTCAGTTTTGCTTTAGAAATTGAAGTTTGTGTGTGGGTGGTGAACTGGTCAAAATTATTATTTAAGGGCCATTAAGTTGTGGTGGTAAACTAAGTGGTCAATTGTCAAATACTTTAAAGGGAAGTAGAAAAAATGAACCTGATGCTTGTCAATGGTTCTATTAGTGCGTTTTCAGGCTGTGAGCCCTTGCTGCCCCATCAGCATCTTGCTGCTGCATACAATTTTGCTTTTATACAGAACTAATTTTAAAAACGTCTTCTATAGTTAGATTTTGGCTAAAATCTAGAGTAAAACAAATAAAACAAAACAAACCCCAAAAGTAAAGCAACCACCTGGAAAAGCCAAAAAGTAACTGTTTGCTACACTTGATTTCTTTGTCTTAGTCTTACTGGTGTAATCTTTACTCTTTAAGATACTTAGTCAAGTTAATCAACCCAGCTTGAGTGTAATGTATTAAAACGTTTTTCTTTATATTGTTCAGTATTTTGCTGTGGAGATTTTAGTTTAAACATGGCATATTATAGATAGGCTGAAGTCAAGCAAGCTCGTACCTTTTTTATTTATTCTACTTAATAAAAATTATCTAGGTTTAGCCTATTTTCTCTGAAAGCAGTGTTTTGCAGTTGTTTTAAGTGATAGCTTTCTGTAAAGCATTGGATACTCTTAGGAACAGTTTTTTTACTTAAATACTAAGTATCAAATTCCTCTTTCTCTCTTTCTTTAAAGGCATCGGTGCTTCGAAGGTTTCAGAGTACGTTAGTCATAGCAGAACACAACAATGAGACTCTTACACCCGTCACATTAAATGCTATCACTGCAGCAAAACAACTTGGAGGTGAAGTTTCTTGTTTAGTTGCTGGTACCAGCTGTGACAAGGTAGGAAAATGTTATTTTGATATGATTGAAATAATGAATGCAGTGAAACAGTACTTGGTAGCATCTTGGTCAGCTGGAAAAATAGTATGTAGTGAAGAGAAACTGTGCTAGGAATTGCTAATCTGCTGAAACTGTCCTGCACTTGAACGGCTTCTCCCCTGAAGTGAAAATATGGGTATAGATTTCACTTCTCAAGGACAATATCAATATCAGTTGTTACAAGCTTAAGCAAGCAAATTTTTGTAGGACTAAAGGATAAATAACTTTTAAAAGAGTATTTCCCCTGTAAAGTTTTAAAGACAAATACTGCAGTGCTAAGAACGTGGAAAGAAGCTTCTGCGTGTTCAAATGTAACTATCAGAAATGAAACGTCACAGGGACAAATAGAGCTTCTGAGCATGTTGCTTTGGCTAGTCGGCTACTAGTAACACAGTGAGAGTGTTTGCAACCCAAAATTCTGACATTAGTGCTTCCTGACTGTATTGTATAGCTCACATTTAGACAGTTTTCTGTATGTTAGCTGTTACATTGTTAATTTTTATGTGCTAAGTCTGGAGACAGTAGTTAGTGCATTAGTGAAATTTCTATTTCAGCATGAAGTACAAATAATTATGCCTAGTATTTTTCATACTAGGCCATTCCTTATTAATTTTTATTCTGAAAACAGTATGTACTGTCTCATACAGGCATACTTATGGCAACTAATTTACAAATTGGCTATTCTAAACTGAGATCCAGGTGTTCTGGGTAGAGACCTGGAAGCAAATACGTATCTGCATCAAGAAAAAAAAAAAAATTTCCTGGTATGTCTTGAGTTTCCTCATTCTTTGGCACTTGCTTAGTAGAAAAATGATTGAGATTGTTTTGTTTGTTTTTTAATACTAAGTATGTGGTGTCTAGATGACAATGTATGTCATGCTGGGAAAAAGTAATTTACCAAAACCAAAGATTTGGGAGTTTAAGTTTCTTTGTAAGGGACTATATTGACAGGACAGAAGAGCCGGTTACTCATATAGATACTCTGTAGCAGCCATTATGGAATTTTTGTTTATTTCCTCTTGTTAATTTTTGAGAGTAAACTGATACTCAGCAAACTCAATAAAATCATGCCAGTTCTGGAGCGACGCATGTGGTCTCCAGACACTGCTGTCAGTCCTATTCTCTCTGATCTGCAACAACCCTTTTATCATTTAAACTTCACTTCTGCAAATTTAAAGGAAAAAATGCATAAATACAGAATTGAAAATACACATCAGCAGGCAAAAAGTCAGCTGCAAACAAAGGATTGCTCCTAAAATTTGGACAAAGATCATAACATTTGTACTCGCATCGTATGCTTGTGTGGTAGACGTTGACCAATTTAAAAGAAAGTGGGATTGGTTTCTTGATGATTCTGTCAGAATACCAGCAATAATCCTCAAGTGTGATTGTTATCGGCTGTTGTAATAAATCATGAGATCACTGTATAATTCTGTACAGGAGGCAAGCTTTCCTATGTTTGATTTGCTTTATGTTTTTCTTATTCACAAAACTCATTTCCATTGCCCTGTAAGACATTATGCTGTAAAGCAGAAGATCTATGTTTTATTCTGTCAGGTTTGTTCTGATTTTGAAACTCACATTTGTGTTCCAGTTTTAACTCATGTATAGGCTGTGAACGCTGCAGCAGAGACTCTCTCTTGCTGGTTGTTTGCAGTGTGCGTTATAATGCAAACTAATAATAATTCATTTGTAATCATAGGTAGCGCAAGAACTCAGCAAAGTGCAGGGAGTTGCAAAAGTTCTAGTGGCTCAGCATGATGTATACAAGGGATTTCTAGCAGGTGAGAGTTGTTCTTGCCTATTGACAAAAGAAACAGTATCTATATTTGCTACTGAAAATAAGATAGTGTGTAAATTTTGAGCAATATATTTTTATCCTCAGAGGAACTGACTCCCTTGATTGTGGAAACTCACAAAAAATTTAATTATACCCACATTTGTGCTGGAGCATCTGCCTTTGGGAAGGTAAGTAAATCAAAGTGCATTGAAAGTTTCTTGTAGAAAGAGAGCGAGAACAACAGTGTTTTACGTAAGAGCGTGAATCGAATGCCTGAGAGGTAAGCCATGGACTGTTTTGAGTTTTCAAAAAACATTACAGTAGTAGGCTTAAGAGGTCATTAGTTAGAAGCACTGATTCATGTCCGCGTCTTATTATGGGCTGACTTGGACAAAGGAACAGCGGAGAAGAAATGTTTAGTGGTAACCAGCTAGTTCTATGTACAGACGGCAAAATGTACAATAACACAAAATAGATTAAGCATTATGCAAATTTTAAAGAAAAGGACAGTAAATTGCAGATAAAAAAAAGGTATGGTTTGCGTGTTGAAATGAAAGTGTGCAGGCCTATTGGAAGCAGTATTTTTTTTGGAGGGAGGGAGTTGCATCTGTGATATAAGTCATATGAATTGAAGTATCTGTAAATAGATATAAATAATACAGATTCAAGTCCTAGCCAAGATGTTTTTTAATAAAAATAGAAATTTTCAAAACTTTAAGGAGTGAAGTTTCAAAGTATGCAGAGAGCCTTGCCTCTAACTAGTCAGCGTTGTGGTGTGCAGCTAAACTAGAGAAAAAGGGTACTTCAGAAATCTTGCTGATGTGGGGTGAGTAATCACATCAGCCTTCCGAGTGCTTTCACTTCCAGTCAATATCAATCCATATACTTGTCGTTTTACTGAGAGAAATCTTTACATACCTCAAGTCTTGGGTTTTTATTTATTTTCTTTATCTTTTTCTTTTTGGTATGCAGTGTCTTAGTAAAAGTTAATAGCTTTTGCTTTAAAGCTTACGCTTCCGTTTCTGAGTACCTAATGTGAGTAAAGATCTTGGAACTGGGCCTTTTGTGTTGTACTAGATTAGGAGGGAGACAAGATAGCAAAACTCTTGCTGCCATTAATTTCTTCATGATTTATGTTGCTTTTTTAGTTGTCTTCCCTATTCCTAGAGGTGCTAAGTAATTTTCTAGGGTCAGTTTCAGAGCAAGAGTATATATATATTTTAAAAAAATTTATTGTTTTTTTTTTATACTTTTGGGGAGGAGTGCAGGGGTTTTTTTTCCTGCTGTCTCTGGTAACTAGCTTCCAAAGTGTGGGGGGTTTTTTTGTTTTTTTTTTCCTTGAAGTGCTAAGAGCTCAGTGATCCATAATTGTCAATTTTCTGAGTAAATTGCATCTATATTCAGTTTTAAACTGTTGAAGCAAATAAGACTCCTAATTTAAGGTATTGAATTAGGGGTTTACTTACTGTAAGTCTCATAAAATATCTAATGTTATTACAATAATGAGATTTTATTTGGCTGCTAAAGCTACATGAGTAGCCCAACAAAAATCTTAGTTGTGTGTGCCTTTGCTTACAGATAGCATCATATGAAGTAAAAATCATGACAGCAGGCGTTCTTTTACTAACCATGTGTTTTACTTTGCATTTATTTTGCTGACTTTTCATCTTTAACTTCTAGAATCTTATTCCCCGAGTGGCTGGCAAACTTGATGTTGCCCCTGTTTCTGACATTATTGCAATTAAATCACCAGACACCTTTGTGAGAACTATCTATGCAGGTGGGTGATCACAAAAGATACATGGTACTTGTGCAGTAAAGGACCCAACACTGACAAATTTTCTATCCTGGTGTTAGAAACTTGGAATATGATAGGAATTTTCACTCTACGGTCTGGATTGCTGTGGTTCGTAAAAATGAAGCCTCAGGATGGACTCAATGCTCCATGTGTGAGAAAACAAATAATCCCAGCAACTTGAGTGCTATCAGTTAGAAACCAGGTCTATGACAGTGATAGAATTTGGTAATCTCCTTTGTACCTACTGCATTTCTTTGTTAATACACTTCTGATCAGATTCTGTAAAACGTGAGGCATTAAGTTAATTGTCTGGCTTTAATATGACTAGCATTAGTTCTGATTTAAGATACCACAGGGTTATTTTTCCCAATTACGAAGACTGGAACTAATTATTGTAATATTTAGTTTAGTTAATTTGAAATTCTTTTTTCAGTCTTGTTTCTCCGATGCTTGTCTGACACAGTATCTTAATTTGGATGTGAGCTCATTAGCTTGTGTTTCTTAATTTTACTGCACAAGGTTTTTACCATGTATACCCACATGGCGCTACATTCTGAGTTACATGACCGGAGTGCTGTTTTGCGTGGCACTTTTAAGTTACGCAGTAATTCACTATTTCAAGATGACTTTGTTTACGAATAGCTGGTGTTGCAGCTTTTTTCTCTCTTAATGTTCCCTGCAGGCTCCAGTGTGAAGCAAATACCTCATATTATATATTGTTGAGAAAAGCACCATCCCTCAGATGCTTAATTCAGCCCTCATTGTCTTCTGATGAATTCATACAACGGGCTAAAAGACCTACTTTGAATTATAGATACTCTTCTTGTTTAAGAATGACGCTTTCAAAGTTGTTTTTTTTCCCCCTTCTGAAGTTTAAAAGCTCCTTCATAAGAGATTGATTGTCTGTCTCCTTTAAAAAGAGAGAATGTGTTACTGTAGTTCAGAAACATGGAGCTAAAAAGAGATTAAAGTATTTGTAATTTGCGTTTATTATGTACCTAGGTCTCAAGTTTTAGTCATCTTACTCTAGTAGAACTGCTAATATGTTTCTGGTATCTATTTGTTTTTTTTAAAAAAGCACAGTATGTCTGATAATCTTAAAAATATAATGTGATTTTTTGTTGTTGTTTGTTTGTTTAGGAAATATTCTTTGCACTGTGCAGTGTGATGAAGCGATTAAAATATTTACTGTACGGGGAACTTCTTTTGAGGCTGCACCAGCAAGTGGTGGCAGTGCCAGTTTAGAAAAATGTGAGTATTTGATATTTTTTCATTTCATGTAATACAAGTTAGTTTTGCTCACTGCATGGTGTTATTGCAGAAGTGTTTGTCAAAGCAAACTGGTTGTCATAATCTTAGCTTTATGCTTTTGGTACAGGTGCTTGTGCTTTTTAGGGATATCTGCTAAGGGAAGATACGAATTATTTGCTCAGTTGTTACTTTTTTTTTTTTTTTGGACCAGAAACGGAGATAATCTGTGCTGAAATCTGTCCCTGTTTCACTCGCTGCTTAAACCTCTGCCACCACAATCTTGAAACCTTTTCCTATTTAAAGTTACAGCTGTTCTAATAGCATGATTGGTTTTCAAAGCAGGATGAAGCAGAAGTGTTTGGCTCTCCACAGTTTTGGTTTAATTGGTTGTATTTCAGTTGATTTAGATCGTTACAGTGTCTAGCTAAATAAGTTTAAATTGATCTGAGAACACTCAGTAGTTGTTCTAGATCAGTTTTAACTAAATCAGCTTAAATTATTTTTTAATGAAGCCAGTATAGCTTTGATAATAGAGATACCCCAGTAACAGAATCACAAAATAGTTGAGGTTGGGAAGGACCTCTTAAGATCATCTGATCCAGTTGCCCTGGAGCAGGTTGCCCAGGACTATGTCCAGTCGGGCTTTGAGTATCTGCCCAGAAAGGCGCTTCACAGCCCATCTGGGCAACCTGTTCCGGTGTTTGATCATCTCTTTGTCACTGCTGGCCGTTTTATGGCTGTGCTGTAAATCCAGCAGAGGCAATAATCATTAGTAACATGCTGCTTGTTTGTGTCCCAGGCCTCCTAATTTGCTGGGTGGCTTAGTACCTGCCCCTGAACCATCCTGCATTTCTTAACATCTGCGGATGTTGGGAAACAAATGCTGCGTGATACTTGAGTATATTGCATTGACATGGCACTACTTATATGGCTTGTCTGCCTGTCTGAATAAGAACAGCACTTGCTGTGCTGGGGTGATGTCAGTGTATTACTTGCACGACAGACCTTCGTTTTAGTGCAGCTGGTACTATAGGTTACCTAAACATGATGAAAGAGGCTTGTAACTCAGAGCAACAGCTGAAAAGCTTGTGGTAGAATTGGTTATAGAATTATCTTTTGCTTTAAGCTCGAATTTAAAAGGTTGAGAACACATACTTTATCTCTTCTCTTGTGGATGTTTTTCTTCATCTGATGAATGCAGTAACCCCTCCACCGCCTGTTGGTCTGTCAGAATGGATTGAGCAGAAGTTAACAAAAAGCGATCGACCAGAGCTTACTAGTGCAAAAGTGGTTGTGTCGGGTGGTAAGTAGATAATGTTGAAACTGAGTTGTGCTGCATTTAAGTAATTGTACATCTTGATTAAATAATGTCTATAGCAGAACACTATAATGTGACACATTAAGAAAATACGTTATGATGTAATTCTGAAATATGGAATAGGAGCCAGTGGGAATGCACCCAATGTGTATGTTTTGGGAAGAGGCAAAATATGAGTTTAACATGCTAGGAGGCTGGCTTTTTAAAAACACTGTCATATTTGAGTCCCATTAAACTTATGGCAATGTGAAATTTATTTTTTTTTTTTTACATCAAGATCTGTCATTTTTTAAATTATTGCTAATTGTTACAGGCAGTAAACCATTACTATGTAATGACTTTAATGGTTTTAAAATTCTGCTCTTTAGGTATAAAATGATGGACTGTGATTTTTACATGTATGCCTACAGCTAAAAAATGATTCCACTACAGAGTTTTGTACCTAAAGCCAGCAGAGGGAGCACAAATTAGTAAAAAAAAAAAATAAAAAATCTTGTTTCTCTGAATTTAGAAAATTGCCTTGATGGTCGGTATGCAGGAGGTAAACTAGACAGTGGTGTTGGTTTATACATTTAAAATACTTGTATTAATCACAAAGACAAAAGCTAAATCTCCAAGTATTAAATACTACTTAATAATATATCAAAAAATACCCCGTGTAAGCATATATTTGTGCCTATGCAAATACTCCTACAGAAAGCTTATGTAGGCAACCAAAAAACCTCTTAAAACATGCTGGGTTTTTTTTTTTGTTCTTTTAAGGGAGAGGCTTGAAGAGCTTTCATTTTCATTTTTTTTTTTTAAATGAATGGGAAGCAGATCAATTGCATGCTGCAGGTAAACTTTTTTTTTTTTTTTTAATTCTGACTAATGTGTTTGAAAAGGTCACATAAAAATAATGTTTATCTTGAGTAATCTTAAGTTTTGTCTTGTCCTTGTAGTCAACTGTGTGTTTAAATGCCCTTGTATAAAGCAAAATACTAAACTGTAGTATTCCCCATCCTCATATCTCCAGAGTACAAGATCACAAAGTGAAGCTGTATAGATTAAAAATGGTCTTAGCTCACTTTGAAGAGCTGATATTTTCTTCATACATGCTTATATACTACTTTTTTACAGAATCATTTTCACAGTTGTTGAATTGACCGTCTTTTTACCATGCGTTTCGTGTTAACAGGAGAAAACTGACCATGTGCAGTGTTTCAGCAAAATGTTTGAATAAGGGTTGGGGAGAAGGAACTGTTTGTATTAACACTTATAACTACATTAGCTTTAGATTTCACATGTAATAAGAAATTTAGAGTTTTATATGAATAGCTTTTTTTCCAAATTGTTGACTTCACTAACTAAATGTCCATGTGACATTTTCAAGTTGACATTTTCTTGACTATGCCTGACTTTTGAGCTCCACAGCAATGTACGATGGCACATGCATTCTGTTCAGACTAGGAGGAACATTATAGGAAGACGTTTATGGGAAAATCCTCTTTTGACGAAGCAACAAGAGAAAATAATGGAAGTATGCCAGACTGAAATCCTCGGTTTTAAATATATGGCCCTTTGGTGCTGGGAGTAAGGATTTCCTGTTGCTTATGAAGTGCATTAGTGCTTCGTATTTGGAAGTTGCAGCCAGTGGTAGAGAGAGGGATTACTATAAGAGCTTTTAAGAGGGAATTTTTTAAATATGTGCCTTTAGACTGTGGGGCTCTTCAGTAAAATCCGTGTGCTTTTATGGTGATAGAAATTTGGCTCGCTAATATTTTAAAAGAAAACACTGAAAATATTTTCTTTCAACTAGTTGGAGCTTCCCGTGCAGCTGTTGATGCTGGCTTTGTTCCTAATGACATGCAAGTTGGACAGACGGGCAAAATAGTAGCACCAGTAAGTATGGAAATATTGTTCATAAAAGAGCCATGATGTTTTCTAGCAGGCGTTTTCCTCCATAGTCTTAACACTGAGCCTAATGGGAAAATCTTAGTGTGCCCATTGTGATACTGTCACTTAACCGTGCATTTGCAAAACTAAGCAGCAAGCTGTGATGTCACTCTCCACTTTGTGTCAAGTGGAAATGTGCTGCAGACGATTTCATCAGGGGTTTTGCGGTCAGGATTTTTTTGTAGTTGCCTCTGCTGAGCCTTTTTTAGTTTTCTAACAGCTGTCATCAATATGCTAAAAGATGTCATTGCCAACATAAGCTTGAAATTATGTTGATACGTGGCTTGACCTCTGGGAACTGTGTTTTTTGGATTTTTTTACAGGTGATTTTTTTTTGAGTTTTGGTAATTGCAACTGCATTATTGCATATTCTCGGCAAAATTTTTGTAAGAGATGAGTACAGGAAGCTTAAATAATCTACAGCTTGGCTTCTGTAGAATAAGATAGCATGGAGGGCATTCTCTAGTGCGTGGCTTAACGTTGAGAAATAACCTGCTGCACATCTTTTCTGCTATTTGTCTTGATATTGCAGGATCCCTCTGTCTTTTTCAATCTAGATAGGGGCCTTTCTGTCATGTAAAAGTCTGAGACTACTTTCGTTGTTCCTTATGACCTGGGGAAAATTGTAGACAGATTAAGCACACTTGAGCATTTGTAAATAAGAAGGTACAAATGCAGCTCATCTCCATGTGGGGTAAAATGTGCATTGGTGTGTACTGAGATGCGATGATCATGGACATGAGTAGGGAACTGTGACTAGGAACGTGGGCAGGTATAGCAGTCTGTCAGATGTACACTTAGAGCAACATAATCAAGTAAACATTTAGTCTTTCAGTAAGCAGTTCTTTTTGAGTGGTTGTGGCAACAGAAGGCACCAGAGCAACTTCTTATTTGTTAGTGGTTTAATGAGACCGGAAAGGGAGAGTGAGCTGTAACTTAGTAGAGAACCTTGTCATATTTCAGCTGCTGCATTTACTAAATCTCAATAATTTAAATAATACTAAAAAGCTGTACGTGTCCTCGAAGCCTTGATAGGTTCTGAAATGTTTTGGCTTTGTACCATTAAGAGCTGCAAATTTGAGAACTTCAAACCACGACTATTATTCTTCCAGTAAAAGGTCCAGCAGGACAGAGCAGTGCTTGAAGTTATCCAAGATAGAAGCTTACGATTCTTGGAGTCTATTGTCAGTTCTGCCTGCTGGATTTTCTTAAGCAACATGCTTTGTGCTTCAGAGTTCTTCTGTCGTGAAATGTAGATGAGGATGCTTGTTGCTTTTTTTTGTGTCTCCTTTTTTTTTTTTTTCTTTTTGAGTCCTCATCAGAGGCCTTCGGATGATAGCCCTGTAGGGCTAAGTGGAGCTATTTCTAGGCACACTGCTGGTTAATCTGTAAATCTATGTGATAACCAACTGCTACAAAAACCAGCTTCTGATAAATAAACCTGTTGATAAGACTTAAGGTCCATCTGGTTGCATATTGCATTCTTCCAAATTCCTGATAGCAATGATATTAACACTAATTCAGTAAATGCAACTGCAACATAGAATTGTAGAATGTGTTTTACGGAGATTGCAAGTTCCAAAAAAGGTAGTTGATTGTCATAAGGTGGCAGTCTTTAATTGGTTGTTGCTTACGCAAACATGTAAAAACCAGAGAGTAAGCTGAGTGTCACTTAACTGTATTTTGAAAGTGTATGAGATGAGAGTGACCATTCTTAGTTCTTCACTACCCAAATATCCATTAATGAACTGGAAAATGCCACTTTGAAGACAGCTCAGCTCTGGTTTCTGTGTCTCAAGGCTCAACAATGAACATTCTTTCTGGAGTCAAGGGCATATAAACACTTGTGTCGAAACAAAAAGGGCCAAGTTTTGAAGAAGATACACATGGCTCATGGCAACATAGAATCATGTGTATCATAAGAACTTACAGCCACATCATAGATCACATCAGTGTTGCCATTGTCATCTTCTAGAGGGTTGTTAAAATAGCCATTAGTCAGTCAGGACTAATGATTGTTTGACATTTATGTCAGTAAACAATCCTAGCTGCCACAGTTGCATGGTGCTACATCTTTTTGTCAGCAGGTTAATGCATTTTTCTTTCATTTCCCTTGTTAACAAACATTTATTAAGCAGCGAGTTAATACCAGAGTACTGAGGATTATACGTCTCTCCTTTTAAATTGTTCGAATATTTCTTCCAGATCTTAAAATATATGCAAGGACAGCATGTATTGACTTAGATGTATAGCAAATATTTTATGTTAATTGTAATGAAAGTGCAGGTTGAATTGATACTAAGGCCTCAGATTTGCTGACTTAGAGGAATTAATTTTTCAACGTGCTAGATAAGGATCTTAAATATGAGGCAGTTTAAAGCTGCAGATTCTCAACTTCACATTCCTAATTCCCCTTCAGCATCTTTTTGGTACTTTAGCTAGAAAATTGTTCTGTGCAGTGGAGGATACAATTCACTTAGAGAAGGCGTAGAGCTGAACTTTCATGATCAGATCAGGATGACGCTGGTTATTTTAACAATCTTTTAGAAGATGACTGCTTTCTCTTACTCTGAGGGATGAGCTCCTGATCTCTGGAAAATTGCAAAGCAGTGTGTTGCACCTTGGTTAGTTAGTATTAGCTGGGACCCGAATTGTGCGTTTCGTTTTGAACTCCATTTGACGTGGTGTGTGCCCTCCTGGGCATGTAGGTTTTAAGCAGGGGAAGAATCTTGGATACAAGAAACTGCTGGAGTTTGAGACATACTTGCTCATCTGTGCAGCTGTTAGTTTCTGATGGGAAAGTATCTTACCGTATGCTCTTAATCTTCTATTAATAGTCTCTTGCCTGGTCTCGGTGGAGGAGTGGAATGCATTGTTTTTAAAGCACTCTGGAATTGGGTCATTTTTGAGACTACAGCGAGAGAAGAGCTCAGGAAGAGAGGAGGTGCTTCTACTGCTGCTTTGTGTATGACTGCTGGGGAGTGTGCTGTGCTGATCTTTGAGTTAGGAGGTAATAATCTGAGAGCTCTGCTTATTTCTTCCCTTGTGCCTTTGTGGACTTGGTGAAGGAAGGGTAATTTTCGTCACTGGTCCTTCAATAATTCCATGACTGCTTTCTTTAGAGTGCAGCTCAGATGGGCGTTGCAAGACATGAGGACCTCACAGCCACAGTGCCTTATCTGAAATGTATTAATACATGAACAAACTGGCAGTTGAGCAACAATTGTAGTCTGCTTTGCCTAAGTGATGAAAGAAAGCAGTTAGTAAATGTGTACTAATTTTACCTTCCTTCTGTTTGAGAATTAGTTCTATACAGCGCACATAGAGTTCCAGAATCGCCTCAGATCTCTAAACTTTGAGCTTTTGTTCATGTTGGAATTTATGCATTTTGTTGTGGTTTTTTACTGGATTTTTGGTAAATTTTCTTCTGTCTAATGTTATTCCAGTTGTTAACGCTTGGTGTATTATTTTTGTTAGCAAGTTTTTGCTTGCAGCTCCTGTTTGAGCATTCTGTCTTACGAAAGAGAAGGTTTATTTGTATTATTTGATGAGATGGAAGGAAGGAAATTTTTAGGGATAAGTGCATATATTAAAATACAAAATGTTACTTTCCTAATTAAAAAAAGTAATTCAGTATATTCAATCTCTATAATCAGTGACAACCATTTTTGGAGTATATTTTTTTTAATTAGAAGGCAATAGTTTTCCAGTATTTCTTATATGCAGGTGTTCTGCATAAAAATGAAATTAATTTCTCAGATTAAGCACTGTGTGTAGTTCCTATTTAAGAAAAAAGCCCATATGAGAATGTTAAAATTAGTTGGTTTGAGTTAAAAACATCCTTCTCCTGAGTGCCTACTGTTAAGTATTAGTTAAGTATATCAAGTTAGAAAATACTAAATTTCCTGCACAAATCAAGCCTCCCACCAGCACCCAGCGTTAGCTGCTATTTTTCGATTAAAAAATTCCAAATAGGGGCATTAATATTCACTGTAAAAATCTCTCTAGTTGTTTCTATGTTGTTCCCAAGAGAAAGAAGCAAAAACAAAAGGAGGGAGAAGAAAGAAGGTAAATAATGGTTTTCAGTTATTTAGAACTTTTTAGAAATGGAACACAAATGCTTCATTTATTAGTTCAGTTTTCCTCACCCAAGGTGTAATGAGCGACATCTCGTAACATTTCTAATGGGGGAAAAGGAAGGCAACTGCTAGAAGCCTTAAGTAGCTTCTGCTGATTTCTGAACCGTGACCTTTGCGGTCCAGGTATGCGAGGAAGGGACGCACAGATAGGCAGCTGATACCCTTTCAGCCATCTGGGGTATAAAAAGTACATTCACGGGGCTGGCAGTTACCACGTGGGACCTGACGGTTCCTTCTGCAGCAGCATCAGTGATTCAGGTGGGAAACCCTACACTGTCTGCAATGTCACGAGGTGCCTATGTTTGGACACCCAAATTGTTCCCATGGTCTCTCAAGTTCTCCTGGTGTTATAACTTAATTATATTCTCCCTTAGGTTGTATTGGGATGATCTTGCTCTCAACTGCTTCCCCCACCAAAACCAAACAAAACCTCAGTGGCATGGCTTTTTTTCCAGAAAGCCGCTGCCTTCTAGAAGGCATCCCTCTAGTTTGATCTCTTTGGAGTTTAAATGTTTACTTTTTTAAAATTTGTTTTTCTCTGCTGAAGCCTGTATTCTTTCAGGGTCCAGTTCTCTAAGTGCTTTAGCTTTCTTTATAGGTTTTCCTAGCTGGCAATAGAGAAGATGTGGCCAGATCAGTATTTTCCCAACTGTAGGGCTTGAGATACCCATCCAGGGTTAGCTGTCGGTGGCTAGAAAGCCTCACTTTCACTATCTCAGACTTTATTGCAAGGTTTACTTCTTGAGGAGGGTACAGTACAGGGGGTCCATCCAGGAGGGGTGGTGCAGCCAGGCAGAACTTGGGGTT